TGTTAGACCTCTCTGGTGGGCTAGAGCACTACCTTGATAGATCGGCAGGACTCCTAAAGTCTATTATATAGGGCAGATATACATCCAGTCATCTCTAACATCTCTAATGGTGCTTGATGAAGTCGTATGCATGCGGTACTCCTCGGAAATTTATCAACGCTGAAAGTTTTATCATTTAATCTTCTATCACAAGTTCACTGCGTCTAGCGCATTTTCTAGAACAATTATCTACTTCCCAGTACAACGAAGCGAAAAATCAGTGCTTTTGCGAGCGGTTCCTTGACAGAGGTAAGCTGTCAACCAAGTATCCATACAGTACACCTGCTCTTATTCGTTGAAATAATTTTCTTCGTTAAACCCGAAGCGATGCTGATTATTGGTATATTTTCAACAGTGACCTTCATGGTGATATGCTCTCACTACTTTCGCTCATTATAGCATCAGGAACGGTACTACGCGCTGATACCGAGGTAGGTTTTGAGACTTGGAACATTTTTGTAATGCACAGTTAGGATCCTCCGTTTTTCACTTAACATTTACTTATGCCTTTATTAAATACTTAACTTTGTGAGAATGAATTCTATAACCGTTTTCTAGACTAAATGAGGCACTGGCTGAGATAGTAAGCTTGATGTAGGTCAAAGATAAAAGCATTCACAATCCCACCTATTTGTATTGGCTACTACTCCCCTACGTCGCTTTTCTATCCAAAGAAACTTTTACAATATCAGCCCCAAATTCCCACGAAGATTTAAAAATGCTTGGAAAACTAGCTCTAACTAGGTCACATAATGCATAGGAATGGGAACCCACGTCGTATCCTGATCCACGAACCAATGCCACACAATGTAACACAGTAACTGGCTCAACATTATGTGACCCGGACAGAATTCTCACAGATACTTGGCGCCAGGCGATCAACGAGAACATCGCCAGACAATCAGCAAGTGAGTGCCACTATTCGATTCTACCGGAACAGTCATATTTTTTTTATTTCACCAGTTTTATTCTCATGTTGTCTTTTTATACTACGTATGCGATGCTCAAACAAGTGTTTCTCGTGTTGAAGTCCAGAACTGTGTTTTTATGCCAAACTTAATTGACATTAGCACTGGAATCCACGCTTCTACAGCATTTGAAAATATGATATTGAACAACGGCCTACTTAACCGTGGGTTTCCACTACATCGAAGGAAGAGTTTGAATAATGGTCTTGATTAGATACATATGATATTAGGTGAATGTTAAAGTTTGGCAAATTTTATGCCTTTGTGTTCTCCTGCTGGAGGAAGCTGTTACGTAAAATTGAACGTTGAGGTGACTTAAGAATATCCTTCAGATTCTTCTGTGCGAACCATAGGAAGAAATACAATGCTGTTTCACGCAATATTGAGATAGGAGGAAAAAGAAACAGATGCAAGAAAAAGATCATAAAATCATTGTTCTTGGAACAGTAACCTATCACAAGCAGGCGCGACATAATGAGCACAGTATAACTAACGTTTATTAGATGGATTTCGCTTTCTTCAGAACCTGGAAGCGTTGAAGTGATGAGCGGTCTACTCAGCCAAATACTTTCATAACCCTAACGCAAAATTCCAAACCTACGCTCAAATCAAATAATAAACAGCTCCATTAAAATGGACACCATCTTTTCTATGACTTATTTCCTGTGACATCTTATTAAAACAAAAGTGTCAAAAGAGTATAAATGCGTAAGGAATGTGCTCGCCTGAGGACAAAAAATCAGCAGGAGCTGTGGAGCGAGGCCACCTATGATTACACAAGGTACTCTTCCTAGAGGTTTGCCGTAGAGATTTCTGAAGTTTTGTGTTCCTGCTAGGGTGAGTAACTATTGATGCAACTCTTCTCTGTCAACCTTTTTTGACTCAAGCGTGTCTGGTAGAGTACTTCGTATGCGTTTAAGTTTTCCACCAGGTGTTTTTTTATAGGGCCACTGCCACTGCTTATATTATACTGACGCTTTTTAAGAGGCACTTTATGACGCTAACACAGAATAAAATGTTGCCTCTAAAAACCCTGAGTAGAAGAGGAGTATCTACTGACAGCTCGAAGACGCAAAACGAAGAAGACCTGCTATCATCGACGATAACCACTTGAAGGATATATAGTGGTGCAAATCCATGTGCAAAAATTAGAATGCTTGCGGGTGAACAAATCGTGAGTGAAATCGTTCTTTGAATACTTTAACCGAAATGATAGGACAAAACAACTCTACGCTTACCACACTTCATATGTCTCGTGAAATATTAAGCACAAATGGAGGGTCGGCAATGCACCGCAGCTGGCATAAAGCCATGCCTAAGGCAGGAGGGAGGGTTTAGTATGGGAGTGGGGCACTAATTCCGATCTCAGGCCATTACTCTACTGTAGATATATAAATGACTACCTTGCCATTTGCTCAGCACAAAAGGAAATGGACAAATGTTTTGAGCTACTCAATGAACAATCAGAGTACATTAAATTCGCCAGGGAAAAACCGAAAGAAAACTGGTTTCCTTCTCCTAACGTTCAAGCAAACCTATCCGAAAATGGTTACGTCACTATTTTTTCCTAAAGCCATGGTGCTCTATTGCCTCTCCCCTCACCCATCACAAACGAAAAGGTCATTTATTGAAAATTTGTTTCAAACAGCCACAGGTGTGTGCACAGGAAATGAGAACAAGGATGAATCCCTGAAATACGCCAGGCTATTGGCCATTTCGAATGACTACGATACTGTAGTTAATTGGAAAAGATGTACAGGAAAACCACTCACCTATGCGGTAATTCCACAGAAAATAAGGTCCCGTTTATCTTACTGTTTATTTCCAACAAAATAAGTGCAGCTATAAAACACTGTTTAAAAAGGGCTAGTCTTATTTAGACTCGGTCTTTAGACTAGACACTTTAGATTTGGTAAAGGTGGTTGAAGTAATACCGAACACTCTCATAAGCCACATGGTTCGCTATCGCCTGTGCACAATGCGGAATTATTTGCTTGAGTTCTGGTGCAGTTTACCCTATTTCTTATAAAGGGTTTAGGGGTGGACGGTTTAGGAATTTCAAAGCAGATTTTTATTGAACTGCTCGAAAAGGGGGAGAACAAGAGGAAAAAATAGTGAATCACGGTGATAGCTGTACATTCCTAGTTCTCCCTACTTTTGTGTCTGTGGTCGTCATTGATATGGAGGGTCGAATGTTTCTGTGCTCTTTTAGATAGTGATCGACGCCGATCTTTAACTTTGAACGATTTGGTACACTTTTTCGATTTTCTATGATTAACTCCCCACTGTAATGACATCTCTAAGACTCAAACATATGTGTGGCCCCATGACTGCAAACGAAGAACTAGGCCATCTCTTTTTTAATGAAAAATTGCTTCCGAGAAGCGTTTTCGTGCTTACGCATTATCCAACATTGCGTAATTCTTCCGGTATGCACGGAATTCTTTAGTCTTAGGTTACAATAGGACGAAGAAGGAGAATGTATTTATGGAGCAATAGAAACGTGGAACGATTAAACTCAACGATATTTTTGAGCCGCTCTCAGTTCCTACAGAACCTATGTGTAAAATTGCTTAGCGATCTCACTTCGATCACGGTACCTAGAGAATGGCTTCACGCAGGACTTCTTTTTCATTGGCAAGCAGTCATTCTTTGCTACTGGATCTATACCAACTCACCGTTCTAAGTTATAATCGTCAATGACCGCCATTTCAATTCAGAGGTTTTAGTCGCAATTTTGCATCTTTTTGTAAACACATTTAATCCTATGTTCTGACAAAGTGTATTCTTTGAAATTGTGAAAATTTTCGCTAGTTTTATGTCCGATTTTTGAATAACACAAAAATTTACATCAATTCCCTGTTTTTATTCTTACTTAGCTGTATATTTGGAGGGCCGTCTTCACTGGTTGTGCGGGCACCAACATACTCTCCATTTATCGGAGTTTCGCTGGTTTAGCCATTGTGGTTCCCTGGAGTCTCGAGGTCATCCTAGCCAAAGTCTGCCCCAAGTCGTCACAGCCACAAGCAGTAGCAGTCCTTGTCGATCAGAGGGAAATTTGCTACCATGCGACTAGTTTGATACCAGGGCAGTGGTGGATCGTGGTACTGGTTTACTTTTAACTGGACTTCCTGATGGAAACGCCGGACTCTTTCTCAGATTAAGAAATCCTGGCAAAGGGATGAATACTCCCACTGTACATCGTAGCTAAACACCTAGGAACACCTCCCAGCCACGATGAGGCGATAAACCGTTGGGAGATTTTATACCAACAGCTCAAATTGAATAATAGTTAAAACAGATCCAGTGCAAAGCCATCGATAAAAAATCTGCGCCCGAAAAGTGGTACGCATAATGAATGCAGAGACTTAAAAAAGACTTATGAAATCAGCACATCACTTTTTAGTAGATCCAACTTAAATTGTTCTCCGAACAACTCCTTGTAGCTATAGAGGGCGTATAGGGGCTTGATATAATGAGTTTTTATAGCTAGGTCTAAATCCTATTAAAAACACTTTATGTAATGTCTGATTAATACTGCCGAATTACCAACTTGGTACTAATATACGGTAAAAATCATTCGGCACGCTTTTTTTTCAAAGTTTTTAACCCAATAAATTCAAAGCGTATTCCCAAAACGAGAGCAGATAGAGCAGTGGTAGCTAATCTGATCATTACATGGACGGCATAATTTATCCAACTTATCTAAGCGCTGGTGTGACTCCGTTCCTGGCCCGCCGAGTCTATCACCCTACCGAAGTCTGGATATTAGCACCACAGTTCTCTGCGATCACTTAACTCCCTCTAATCCACATCGCAGTGTAAAACGTTCCATCGCCTTCGTGTATGGTGAATGTGAGGAATCGAATCAAATGCAAGAAGTGCTGGCATCCGCATGGATGTAGTGTTGGGGCGAGTAATAAATAAATAAAGAGATAAATTTCGAAGGTGTGCAACTATATGAATTGATAAAGCGGGAAGCTGCAAAAAATTATGTGGTTAGCTGTGAAACAAAATTTTCGCTTTACAGCAATCACTGGAGAACGATTACCCAATTTTTTGATTGTTAACTGCGTTGTTAAAGAGTTTTTCGATCTGTCTGAAATGAGGACTTCTTAATAACTTCTTATTTTATTCCTATGACTAACCACGAAGAGTCTGTTGTCTCTAACTTTTATCTAAGGCAGTAAAAGCAAGAAGTTCACTAGCATAATTGGGCGAAATGGTGGTTTTCTTTTCAATTTAGGGTTGAAGAGTGTAAGAATCCAATGCACCAGGGGTGCTGCTGAAAAATGTTGTGAAAGCAATGATACCGAAATAAGAATATTTGTGCTTCTTGCAAGAAGAATCAACACCACGTCGAATCAAGTTATTACTAGTGATGATTTGGTGAGTGCTCCATCTTTCCTTCACTGTTTAGCTTAGTGTGTAACTTTTACTTCACCTTTGTTCAAGACCACATTCGGAGACGGGCTAAGAGAGGCGTACGGTCTTGACGCGGAGCAATGTAGAAACTACATTCTCATTCTTGGAGTTGAGCTCGCGAAGAAAATTTACGTATGGGTATGTTGTTTATTTTCTTGTAGTTAATTTTTTCCACAACTATAATCGTGCTCTTATTGTGTCACAGATGGTAGATGATTCCTCCAAAGCTGCTGATTTGATTGATATGTGCAAAGAATTGATATAACCATAAAAAACCTCAAATGGCATTGTTTCTCACAAATTTTTTAGTCAAAATAAGTATCAGATAATTTCCATGCTTTCGCTGACAATGTTCTATTTTTAGACACTTACCGACCTTGAATTGTGGCGTTCCACATGTTTCACTTTCATGAAACTTTCATGTTCGTTCTAGAGCATCTATTTCTACTACTGGATAAACGCATTCAACAACTGAGTTTGAAAACAATTCGCAGCTAATTATTCAAGCTGCACCTCAACTTCGATCCTGTTCCTCTAGTTGTAGAGTTGCAAGCCACAGACAAATGATAAGATGATAAAGCTTTTGGCTTATTAACCCTTAAGGGATCCGCTTTAGATTCGACTTCATCAAGCATCACTAGAGGTGACTGCATTAATATCTGCTTTGTGTAAGGACTTTTTGTGGCTTACGGACGTATTGTGTCAGTGGTGCTATAATTGCAGACAAGTCTGATATCAATTTGCTCACTCCAGAAGGATGTGAGCCCGATGAGTCCTGAGCGCGGGATCGCACAAAAGTCCATCTGTATATTTCAGGACATTTCTAAGCACTACTCTACACGTGGCCGTTCACAGCCCATAGAAAAAACCGTAATCCATTTCTTGATCACTATTTGCACATTTCTTTAAGGAAGCACTTATTCAAATAGAAATATTGCGCACGCTTCTTCGTCAATAATAACAATTACGGTTGGAAGTGATGGTAATCCTTTGTGTTAATTACGTAAAGTTGGGTTTAGAAGTTAGGCGACGCTCAGACTAGTTTTCTCTGGGTCCTCACTATACCAATCTTTTAGTGTGCCTCTGAAGATTCTTCTGCATAGATTTTAGCAATTCAGACTGATTGCCAGGTTTGTGAGGCGTCTTGTAGATGGATAAAACTTTACTCTTTCCTCTCCTGAAACAACTTTTTTGTCTTTAATCAGAATTTAAGCATAGGTATTAGGAATAGTTTTCTGGTCATCTGACGAGCAACTCGCGATCTCCCATGCAGTTTCTTTTGGGGATATCAACAGCCTTGATGAAACTTGCTCTACGCCTTCTCCTTCTAATATTTTGCAGAGTTTTTTTCTGACCATCCGTTAACTGGCGAGTAATTGTGGTGTGGAATTGAGAACGCTCGAGCACGGCTACCTCAGAATGCCACGAAGTTTCGCCCTGCATTCTGCGACATATATTTAAAAAACCAGAAATCCTCTAGTAGTAGCAAAAAATACAGGTGAAAAGTTCGAAGACCTTCATCCTTGATGTTGCGAGGAAACGAATGGAGGGCAAAAAATGTTGGAATCCACACAACAAGTGATGCTGGCCTGATAGAATAAAGAAATAAAAAGAATTGTGCGACTAGCAATCTTAAAGATACTAGCTTTGCAGTCGAATAGATGAAGGTTATTGCATTTCAGACGGGATCTGACGTGGTATTTCCAGAGGGTCGCATGAATATGTCAGTAAATCTACGTAGAAGCATGTTTCTGGAAAAGAATTACATGGAAGGACTGAATAAAATTGTTGATGAAATTGGCGATGTGCTGGTCGATCTCATTCAAGTAGGTTTGTGCAATGAGATAATTGCTCTCCTCTTTATTATGTGGGAAACAAGTGAATAAATGTAATGAACAAAACTGAATGGAAACTGGAACCTGTGTTCTAGTAGCTGACCTGTTAATGATTCTAGCATTTTGAAGTTTTAATCTATAGAGGAACACTGTAGGAAGCGAAACTTGAATAAAGAAAGGGAACTAAAAAAAGGAATAGTGGCATCAAGAAGCTGCCGTATGTTCGCCAGCGATATTGGTTCGACTTCAGCATGCTGCCTTGTTGTTGACATTACAATACAAAATAGACGCTTTATATCCATTCAGGATTCCTCTACAGCTATAACTCTCAGCGATAGGATATTCAACTTCACTGTAACCACGCCCATTGAAAATACGACTGCTTCGTTAAGAGAGACATTTTCAACACCCACGTGAGTAATGTGTACGTTTCGAAATATGCTTTACATAATCTTTTGACTTCCCAAATCGGCTTGCTGGCACTTAAAATAAACAGCCTTATGAAACCAAGCACTCTTAAGCATTAGATTCAAATATGTTCTAAATGTCTCTGAAAGTTTCCACATGTCCGGAAATAGTGCTATATGCAAACCAATCTTCCACGGCTGGACAACATCCTGCATGCTACTCAAAGCGTTTGCATTTACTGAAAAAAGGATAGAGAGTAACAATATTACGCATAGACTAATCTGTCTAAGAAAACGTCGTTCAGCTCAACTGTTCAGCTGTGTTATAAATCACAATGTGGAACTTTTATGTACTAGCCACCATTTTTTCACGACTGAGTACTATATGAAATACGATCACAATGATGCTGAGATATAACTATTATAATGCTGAGATATTTGCAAAACTCCAGACCGCAGGTGCTTGTGGGTGATTGCTGATGGCAAAAAGATCGATAGAACTAGCTGAGAGACAGGCGAAACGAATGACCCGCATGGTGTGGTGGTGAACGCGTTACTTCCAGGAAAGGACAATAGCGCGTTCCTTCCCAACCTCAAGCATCTGCGGTGCGGAGTTTTGCAAACGTCTTAGCATTACAATAGTTATATTACGCAAAATACACTGCCGTTAAAAAGAATAGGCAGTAAATAAAATGGTTAAGATGCTGAGATATTTCCAAAACTTAACCTTTTCCGGTGACCCACGTGTTAGATACAGCGCCACTGAGGCTCTCGTCCTGCCTTTCCATAAGCCAGTCTTTTTACCCTAAGGGTGTCATTAGCAATCACTGGTCAATGAGAATGATCTGGGGAGAGTAAATCGGATTCAAACCTAGTTAACTGTTATCATTGTGCTACGAACTTTTTTTTAAGGGAACGTCCACTATCCGCAACACTGATAACACGAAATATTTTTTGCTATTCCTTATTCTTACTTAGGCAGCTGAAGCTAATATGACAGTATTTCGTGGAATCTTCTCACAGAAGCACTACTGTAGGTACTAATTATCTTCGCTGAGACGGAAGTATCACTGTATAGGCATAGCCTTCCTTGAACTTCTAGTTTATCGTTAATATTGTCTCACTCAAAAGATTCTATGAAGCAGATGTGGTCGCGGAAGATCTCAATGAAGGAGCTAAAAAAGACATAATTTACAAGATGTGCCCTAAACGAAATGTAACGAGTAGTGATAGGCACAATATCAATTACGCCATGACGAGCAGTTCAGCATATTTATAGTAGGTTGATATACTAATCCGAGGAAATATCTACAGGAAAGTTCAGCAAACGTGCCATAGCTCTTCAGAGCCTTGAAGAGTGGGCTCACTGAAGTAACATCAAGGGATATAAATCTACTAGCCAATGTTTTGTGTGTGAAAACGCAATAACTGAGAACAATAACTCTAAAAAGTACCTCATAAACGAATATGCGATTTCGTATTCACTATGCATATTGTTATTAAACACTCATCCATCGTGCTTTTCTGTGCTTGCATAAATAGTCATTGTATCGAATGCATGCTAGTTCAGTTGTGTCTGGTGAATGAAATGAAAAGCGGATCAGGATTATTTCCAAGACGAATGTCTACTACGTTGGATGAAAAACTATCCTTGAACTTTTTCAAGACTTTAAAACAGAACTCCGTGGAATAATTATACGAACTTCTTCACAAAAAAAAAACAGAAACAATGACAAACAGAAGAGAAACGCGTTTACATTGTGTCTTGCGAACGTGGAAAGTTCATTGAGTAGCTTTGACCCGCAACAAAAAGGAATAGAGCCTCTAAAATTTACATTCTGAAGCCACTGCATGTTTAACAGGCTAGGTAACTATGCTGTTTACTATCGTACATATTTTACAATGAAAGGCGCGAGTAGCTTTTGGTTTTAGCATTTTCAAATGTGAAAAAGAGATCTGGTGGAAATCATTCTTATGCTTTGCATGTAAGAAATTATAAATATCTTTTAGGTGGATGTATATCGTCATGACTATGTGTGGGATCATCTCAAGCATTTCTTTAGTGTTTTTGACTGTGATTATATGGAAGAACAACAAATCCAAGCAAATCCTACGGCGTCCGATTGAAAGCTCAAATTATCCAATTGCGTAAGTTTCCCATTAGTTGCAAGATTTCGTTTAAATGTTCAGCGAATTCGATTCAATGAGTTAGAGTGAGATTAATGTGGTAGTTAAATTATGCTTATTCTCGGCTTATAACATTCTTAAATAGCAGGGTGAGATCGCGACAGTGTAACGCAGCAGCTAGGGGTTGCAATGTACACGTCGTCGTTCATTCGGGCGCGCACCAGAGCCTACCAAGCATTCCATCCCTTCGCCTGCATACCCTCTCGTCTCGTTGATCATTGATTGACTGGAGCGGACGCCAGTAAATCTTCTAATTTTCTCCATCCTTCATCAGGGGAGCCCAGTGGGTTCTGCTTGTTCTAGAGATCCGTTGGGCAGCACACCTCTCTTCTAGGCTTTTCGTTAAAGCTCTGACCATCGGGTCAGTGGTCTTCCTGCAGCACGTTTGACACCCCAAGGAATCTAGTCACCAATGGCTCTTGACGATTGGCCGTCGCTTACAGATTTTATGTTTTCGGCCCATAACATCTTCGACAGTTTGGCATATAGAACGACGTCATTGATTTCCGATCACTGACGTAGATAGAAGATTCAGATCCTTCCCTTCATCTGCGTGATAGTGGACACTCGTAGGATCGTCTTTTCGACGGTGCGTTCAATAATGCTAAATGTTCCTCATCCTCCTTACGCGTAGCCGCCAGGTTTCTGACGTATACGTTGAGGCAGGGGCTATCGTGGAGTAAAAAAGGTGGGAACGGAATCTGGTGCTTCTTGTTCTCTTCACTACATCCTCGATGCTCTCGTAAGCTCCACAAGCCCGTCGTTTCCTCTTGCTCAACTGTAAAGCTAAATTTTTCAAAATGTTGTTATCTCTACCTAGATAGACGTAAGTTGAAAATTCGTAGATATCCATTCCTTCGAGAATGAATGTCGCACTACGTAGCCATTCCTGACCAACTTCCTTCTTGTAAGATTTAGCCGGACTCCAATCTATCCACTGCTTTTTTAAAATAGGCAAGGTTTCTTTTTGATTGGGTAGTGCTCTATGTTATAATAACGATATCACCAGAAGAGAGAAGTTGGTATAATTGCCGACCACTGCTTTTCACTCCCGTGCTGTCACATCCGTGTTCGCTTGACGTTATTGGGCGTGATGGTAAACAATTTCGGCGGAATGATATCCCAGTGCCTAACCATTGTTTAACTCTTATACAGCTAACGAAGAAACCTTAAATACTCAGCAGGAACTCGCTGACTGTCTAGTGCTTCCATGACTGCTTCTGCCTCAACTGAGTCATAAGCTGTCTCTAAATCGATGAAAGTGAGACGAAGCTATCTGTTGTAGTCTCGCGACACATAAGTGAATCTTGTTGTCGTGTGGATGTGGTTCGTCGTAATTGTTTTTTTGAAATTCTTCTTGGTCACATAACTTCCCTTCGTCCAGTGCTCTGTTAATCCAGTTTAGGACGACTCAAGCGAAGTGCTTGTAGGCGAGATAGCAAGCAGATTGCGCGTTAGTTCCCGATATTGTGGAAAGCACCCTTCTTGAAAAAAACACTGTCTTGCTTATTCTCTTATTAGGATCTTCAACTGTCGCCTTTCTGGGTGCCTTGCAAGTTAGGACATGAGTTGCCGATTGCCTAAGACCCGTGTGATTCCACGCTTGCGTACCAGTTCGAGTGTTTTTGGAGACAAGCCTCTCTTGTTGACCTTCGAATTATCAGTATAGTAGTCACGATGAACTCAGAAAGCCGCTCAGCTATCTAGTTCCAGTTCATTCGTGATTTCCCATGCAAAACTCTTCAGACCTTCTTTTGGGTTTAATCTTAGTGTTTAAAACTCCAATGATCACAAACCTCGCAAGATGTATAGACTTCTCTGTAGAACTTCTCAAAGTCAACATAGAGCCCTTCGACTTCTCTTTGCCATGGTATGATATCGGTGCTTAAACAACAAAGAATGAATTGAATAAGTCCCAATTTATTGTGGTTTTGGGTCTTCGCCTTTTGAATTTAGCGGCTTTTTCTCCTTTTCGCGAAAAATCAAATCTTGCGCGAATGAAGCGATGGTCCGATTCCGTGTAGCATTTTGGGAAAATAGTGACATCGGCAGGGCCAAACCGTTGATTTAGTATTATGTGGTCTATTTCGCTATGGCGCTCACCACTGGGAAATTCCCGCGTTGGGCGTTGAGGGTGGGGCTTTTGGAATTGTGAATTACCATGGATGGTCTTAGCCGTCATGATAAAGTCAGACGGTAGCTCACTCTGCTCGTTCGATTCTAATCCTTGAGTCCTGTTGTAATGTTTTTCAGACGTTCCTCTTGGTCCAGTCTCAGCGTTAGGATTTTCAATGATGGCCTTGAAGAATGCATAGTCTTCTCTGTAAAATTTCTCCAATCAATACAGAAAGCTTCAACTTCGTCTTCGTCATAGCTTGATGTCAGTGCGTAAACGACGAAAATAGTCTAGGCCGGTCTTTATTCGCGTCTCTACATTCGTAAACTTCCGATTCGAGTTGTTAGTTGCTCAAATGAATCAATGTTTATGGACAAACTCGTGTTGACGAGAACGCCGACACCGCCGACTACTGTTCTCTAGTGTCGCATGTTCCGAGGAACAGTTCTTCTCCGGTGTCATAGACGGCCTTGAAAGGGTGGCGCCGTCTCGTCTCGGCCAGGCCCATGACGTCTTACCTTATCCTTCTTGCTTGCATGATCAAGTCTTCTATCGAGGACTCGGGTACAAGTGTACGTGCGTCGTTGGTGCGTATCGTCACCTTAGTCTCTTGTGATTTAATCAGCTTAGAACAGCTCTGATATTTTAGTACCTCCTTCGTACTCGCACTACCCAAAGCTGGCGTATCGGGGCTCCATCAGCGTGAT